ATTGAAGGGGCAAAACTACTCCTGGACAGGCTTGAGAAAGCAGCACTGAGTGTCGGGCTAGCCATGAACGGCACTAAAACTAAGTTCATGACTCTGAACATGACAGAGGAGGCGAGTAGTCTTAATAGCTGTTCTGGAAACCAGCTGGAAAAGGTGACAGACTTTGTTTACCTTGGAGCTTGGATAGCAACAACAGAGAGGGACCTGCGGGTCAGAAAAGCTAAGGCTCGGGCAGCCTGCCACAAGCTAAAGAAGATGTGGAAGTCTGACCTTAGAAGAGGACTGAAGATCCGTCTATTTGTTGCTACTGTGGAGTCAATACTTCTTTATGGTTCTGAAACGTGGACGTTGACAGAGCAATTGAAGAAACGCATTGATGGCTGCTACACTAGAATGCTAAGGATGGCACTTAATGTGGATTGGAAGCAGCGAAAAACCAACAAAGAAGTCTATGGCAACCTACCAAGAGCAACCATGAAGATCCAAGAGCGCAGGATGCGACTAGTAGGCCATATCCACCGGCACCCAGAACTAGTCGCAAACCGCTTGCTACTCTGGGAACCAACTCATGGGGTGCGGAGTAGGGGGAGACCAGCCATGACCTATGTTGATAGCCTACGAGCTGACACGGGTCTCAACGACACTGGAGAAATGGGCGGACTTATGGCGGATAGAGTTTTATGGAGACAGCGCATCAATACTCGGACGCTGAAGCCGCCTTAAGTCAAGTCAGTAAGTCAACACACTGACGTGACACACCGACCGAAAGAACTAAAACAGAAGGACCTTTTTGACAGATATTGCTACATTTACATTATCAGACTGTTTTATAGCTTTTTTTCATGTTATTCAGTAATGAGGCAATTACAGAACAACATGGATTATTGTTTAAAATCACAGTCCCAGGTAGCTAGTATAAGGTTGCAATTACGACACTTGTCACTAATAATATCTAATATTTATCTTAAAATTATTGTTAACAAAGCATGATGGGGTGGTAACCATCACGTTTTGAAATAATTCCCATTTTATGATTTTGCACTGGAGTTGAAGATTCGAAAAATAACCAATAACTGTTCGATGAAACACCAAAGAACACTGTCTCCACTGAAACCTCCCTCGCTGGACAACCTGGTTACCAGAACAACCTGGTTACACTTCCACTATAAAACCAGCTGACACTGCTTTTCCTTCTCTCTGCTAGTCGTTACCGTGACGATTATCATAGTTTGTTCTTTACACTACATTGTGTTTTTAACTAGGGTTCATTTCATTGAGCAGTAATTGTGCACGTTCAACTCATTTATATTGTACTCAGATTTCTCAGTAGGATTACGAGAAATCTATTAGTTACGCCTTGCTCCTGTCTTTATTTCCTCAGATCAACTGTCGCCAGGCTTGCCGGCTCGTTCCCCCGCATACTTCACGACAGGAGATTCTATTCCAAGGTATTAAATATGTTATTAAGTTAATGACGTTCTCAGTTTGAACTAGAATTCGCCTGTCACAGACTCAAGATTGGTTGCACGATCCACACTCCACAGTATTACATTCCTTATATCAAGGCAAGTTCCTAGAAATTTATTAACACCTTATTCCATTTCCAGGCGCCTTCCTTCCCCAACTAGCTTGAACTGTATCATCAGATACAGACCCTGGACTAACATTGGTCCACTATCGTATGCACATAGCAGATCACTTATTATAAGTATAACGATGGAGAACTAATTTAGGTTGGTTATACTTTGTTTTAATTCCAACATTTTAATTGGCATGTTAGTTCTTGTGCACTCAGCACTGAGTAGGAGTTGTTATGTACTAGGTTATTCATGTATTTAGCATTTACACTATCTTCCTTCAGACATGCACAGTGAGTCCCGTTAAACGCAGCCCACATACCACGTACCTTCTACACCACGTACCCTCTACACCACGTACCATCTGCACCACGTACCATCTGCACCACGTACCATCTGCACCACGTACCATCTGCACCACGTACCATCTGCACCACGTACCATCTGCACCACGTACCATCTGCACCACGTACCATCTGCACCACGTACCATCTGCACCACGTACCATCTACACCACGTACCATCTGCACCACGTACCATCTACACCACGTACCATCTGCACCACGTACCATCTGCACCACGTACCATCCGGATCGAAGTCTAGCTACTGAATTGAAGAGGACGTGTTGAAGTGTTGTATTATAGCTTAAGTTTGGTAACCGAAGTAATGGAACTGGAAGGACTAATTGTAGATGATTGTTGAGAGTTTACGCAAGGATGATGATTAATCACTCTACACTCGACTGTCACGTAACTTTTTAAACACGTTCTCTTGGTGGCCCTGAATGACTATTCGAAATCATAGCCCTCTAATCTGATCCCAACCCTAACCCTAACCCAATCTTTAACAAAAGCATATGCTGAAACCCTAACCCTAACCTTAAATTAGACTAACTTCCGTATATGGTCATATCACGTGATCAAGACAGTTTTTCGCCAATATCTCGCTAGGGGAGCATTTTAACCCTATGTCATGGGGGGTGATTCGGAATCAGCGTCCGAAAATACATCGAATGATGTTGGTCTCAACTGTCGGGGGGCCTTTTAGACAAATTTCGAAGATCGACTGTAGAGTGATTTAGCACGCTCGTTTACGCAACCCTTTTGAAATTAATAATAATGTTTTTATTTTAAATTTGCTACAATTATTTAACGCGTTTTAATTTTTTTCCCTAGATAAAATTTATAAACTGGTCAAGGATACCCTACAAATTCCTTCCGTGTGTTTACATTCCTCCTTTATACAAACAAAACTTTTATTTTAGTCTGTCACAAACTTAATATGGCAAAAACATTAAATCATAAATCAAAAACAATTAAATCATCAAATACTATCTGATGAAACTCATGCAGTATTCTTACACAAATTATCTGGAAAATCTCAAGGTTCAAATTTATATACATTGAAATAAAATAAAAAACAAAATGTGCAGATATGAGATCCTTGCTATGAATACTCCTAATTAATTAATTACTCCTAATTAAAGATTGAAGATGTTAGGGGTAAAAACGTGCGCCGTCTAGATCAACAGATATTTAAGATTTAAGATCGTTCGTTTTATTTATACACAATAGTCGATAGGTATTATGTGTAAGTGTGACAGTAAAATGTCTTACAGAAGAGTGAGGCACTTAAGTTAAACATTCGTTTTATTAATGATTTGAGACTTGGGTCAATTATGATGACATAAGGTCTTACATGTTATATATATATATTATGTAAATAGACATTCTATTGCAACTGCAACCTCAAATATACTCAACAGTCAGCAAAATTATCCTGTGAAAATAATTTTCACCATGAAATAATATTCTAAATGAGTAAAATACGATTATCTTGTATCTATCACAAAATAAAATTATTTTAAAATGTTTGGCATCTGATTTGTGACTAAATCTATGACCCCGTCCCTCACCCCTCATTAATCCTGCTGATATCCTCAGGGTAATTGTTATCAGTAAACTTTATCGTCGTGTCACTCCTATAACTCCGTCCCTCACCCCTCATTAATCCTGCTGATATCCTCAGGGTAATTGTTATCAGTAAACTTTATGGTCGTGTCACTCCTATAACTCCGTCCCTCACCCCTCATTAATCCTGCTGATATCCTCAGGGTAATTGTTATCAGTAAACTTTATGGTCGTGTCACTCCTATAACTCCGTCCCTCACCCCTCATTAATCCTGCTGATATCCTCAGGGTAATTGTTATCAGTAAACTTTATCAGTCGTGTCACTCCTATAACTCCGTCCCTCACCCCTCATTAATCCTGCTGATATCCTCAGGGTAATTGTTATCAGTAAACTTTGTGGTCGCGTCACTCCTATAACTCCGTCCCTCACCCCTCATTAATCCTGCTGATATCCTCAGGGTAATTGTTATCAGTAAACTTTATCAGTGTGTGGTACTGGTGTGCTGGCAGCTTTACGGTTCTTGGCAGCACTTTTTTCCTTCCTGGTGGACCTGGGAGTGGTATTTTATAATTAACAGTGGACATTAAGAGTTTATATAATAAGCGGCAAATCTGCAAAGATTTAAAAAGTATTTTGTTTTCAAAATCACACAAGCAAACAAGTTAAACTAATTTTGCCTGTTGTGAATGATAAGCTTAGCGTAGCTATGATATGAAATTACGGGATTGCTTTGAAAGATGACAGGTATGAGAATGTGATTATGATTTTAATGAGTTGCTTAATCTGGAAAGCCTCTAATAATTACATGACTAGTATAATTATATTGCAGTGTTTAATGTGCTTGATACCCTAAAAACGGAGGATGATCCGTGTTGGCCACGTTTTCCATTAAAAGTGAGGAAGTAAAGCTCAGTTTTATTGCTACTGAATACTAATTAAATGAGTTTTAGATTTAAAAAGGTTTCCAAACAGAGCCGAATAAATGATACCTCTTTGCACGTAATTTTGTTGCATTGCAGCTCCGTTGTATCGATGTAGTATTGGAGAGACGGATTAAATTTCAACTGTTTCGCATAGGAGACCCGATCTGAATAACATAAACAAAGCAAGACGCACCTGATGGTATCGGATGAAAATATTTGGTTGATTTGGTCTTTTTCTTTTCTGTCCCTCTTTTCATGCTTTCTACTGGATTTGCTCCTATCTTTCGAAGTCAGAAGCGGTACAAATGGTTGTTTGATCAGATTTCCTGGTGAATATGGTTATATCATATTATATCTTTAGTATTAACTACTGATAATTACAGATAATCATAGATAATGGCAGATAATCTAACATTATCAGAGCATCAAAACTTTAGGTATAGGAGTTTTAACTTTTAATAACCCTGACAATTATTTAGGCGAATATGTGTCGAAACGTCTACTTCTTTACTAACATCACTTGTTCCTTTTCGTAAATACTAAATATCTTGATGATTTTCAAGGCATTTAGGCCTGAGGCCTGTTGAGTGGTCCGGTCTCGGAGTTTCTTGGTGAGGGAGCTGATGGTGGAGTTGAGGTCTGATTGTTGGGAGGAGAGCTGGTGGGCCGTGTGGGATTGTTGTTCTTGTAGACGGTAAACCTGGGGTTTAATAACTTGTTATTCATTTCATTTTCAAGTTTAAATGGTCGTTAGGGAAACATTGTAACGCTGTGTGTGGTGTATCGGAATCAACGTTGAAAAAAAAAAAAGTTAAGATAAGAGAGGTTGCCACACATTTTCAAGTTGCAGGTATTGTTTCATGTTCACTGTTTAACACCCAACCCTACCTACCGTAATAAAAGTTTTATGAAATCTAATTTGACCAATATTTCATCTCACATATTCATGACCAAAAAAATAATTAAATCATAGCAAGGAATTAATTTTATCAGAATATCGTTCCAATTTGTTATCTGCTAAAATTATAATTTATCTTCATCTGTGGCCCTCTCTGGAACTTGTGTTTTTCATTCGATGGTTCTTTGACCTTGATGTTCCTTTGTTCTTATTAACGGTTTATCGATAACTGGAATATTGGTGTCGTCACGTGACAATGGTGAGTGATTCTTACCCAAAGTTTACTTTTCCAATTTGACTAAAACAACAAAGAAGTGTCTTAAAGGGATCCTAATTCAAATTGGGCTTGTTGAGGGGAGCAAGAAGATGAACAGAAAACAGGACAGAAAACATACAAAAATTCTATTCCAGGTCCGGATAATGAGTACACTACTGCTTCTCCTGATGTTGGTGGTAGAAATTGCTTCACTTATTAATTCAGAAGATACACAGCCAGGAGAATTTCCATTCATGGTAAGTTGTTCTCCAAAATTAGGTATGAACGGACGGCGGACACCATTAAAATACAGAATTTTGCCACAAAATGCCAGAAGATCTAAAAACGGAATTAAAATAATTATATAACTGGGTGCCGATTAAGATTTTTACCCTTGTCTCGCACAGGCACGTCTCTCATCCTACAGACCCCGCTTTATCTCTGCGCTTTGGACGAGACAGGAGACATTGAGAGGAGGATGGGGGTTTCTCACATTATAGTGCACGAGGATTACCACCATGGAATGTTTTACGAGCCGTTTAACGACATCGCTTTGCTGATATTAGAGGAGGAGGTAGTGTTAGAGGAGAATGGGTACAGTGTTATCTCCCTGCCCACTGACAGGAGTATCTACTTATCTACGAGGAAGGGACCACTATCACTGTAACAGGGTGGGGCGACATGGGTGATGGGAGTGGACCAAACACGCTGCAGAAAGTGGAACAGGTCCTACCTGATCAGGGTACGTGTCTGAGCTATTGGAAAGGAGTTGGACTGGAACTGGCAGAAGAGAGCGGTATCCCCGCATCGGTAATGAAATGTTACGTAGAGGGGGGAGGGGGATCTTTAGTCAGTATAGAGTGATGTGAATCCTCAAAACAGATATCTTTTATCCTCTTCCTCAACAATTTATCCTCCTCTGCTATCTTGCTATTAAAGTATTAACGTTAAAAATAAAACCCCAGGTTGTTGAAGAAATGAGCGCATCAGGTTGGATAGACGGAATGCTCTGTACAGGGACACCACCACTAGAAAAACAACGCTTCTGGCACGGAGACTCCGGAGGTCCACTATTTGTCCGGGATAACGGAACTTGGACCCTGGTATCCCTGGTGAGCTGGAATACTCCCCGGTGGGCTGGAATTGAGGGGCTTTATGACTATGATATGAGTGTTGATGTGCTGTTTTACGTTGACTGGATTAGAATGAACATGGTTTAATTTTTTAATGAAAGTTTGGATAGAGAGAACTTTGGTGAAAGCCGAGTAACTTTTCTGGCAGTGATGAAGCTTGAATTTGAAGGAGATTATAGTATTAGTTATACAGTCATGACTGTAATATTTGTATCTCGATTCTCGCTGCCTGGGTTTATATTTATCGGACAAATTTTTAAATTACAGGGGAGGAAATGTTTCATTTAATCTAGCAAAATTCCACGTATAATGTTGATTACATGCTTGTTTAGATCGCTTGTTTTTGTTTTTATGGTATGCATTTTTAGGGGGTCCTCTCTTCCAGTCCCACAGGTTTTAAAACCAAAGAAAAAACGGAAAACTAAAAAATAGAGTCGTCATTCGTCAACTAGTAAATCTGGTTAAATCAGCGCGCAAGGCACACTAATCATACCGTCGCGCGATTCGACACGTGGGCGTCGTGGTTACCATGGCACAGTTTATTTCACTGTTAGCGGATGTCTTTTACACGCGATCAAATTCTTCCTTTACCATTAACATTCGTTGCAATCTCTGTCACTGTTTACAGTTATACATTAGCAAACTTTCAAAAACACATTAAACGATGACCAGGATTATCCTATTCATCTGGGCACTCACAGTGCCGCTTTCCGCTGCTCCAGTTCCACGTTCACTGTATCTGAATATCAGTGACAGCAATTCTACTTCGGCATCACCTATTGAGGAAGTTCTAGAAATCGCCGGATCTGATGAACTTGCAATAAAAGTTGCTTTTATACTCAGTTTCATAGCCGTTTTATCTGCCATCCTGCTAGCATGTCTGATGGTCGGATTCTTTGTTAAGACCACGAAGAAGATTTCAGAACTAGCGAAACTTTTAGAAAGAGATAACAGCATTAACAAAGATCTCGAAAGTGGACTACGAGAAGAAATGAAACCAGAAGAAGAAATAGTAAAATCACATAGTCAGATCGACTTTAAACCGACTTTAAAGAACTATCACAAGCAGCGAATGCTTATGAAACTGAAGGAAGGTCAGAAAGGACACCCGCTAGCGAATATGACCAGTATGGAAAAAGTTTCGCAAAGAAAATGAAGAAGACGACCCCTAAGAAGCCGTAACGAGAGGAACAAGGGGACTACTTTAAAGGTACAGTCCTCCCCTTTTTACTTTTTTAAGTTTTTAGGACGGTCATCATCATATTTCTTTGACTAATTTTAACGCCCCAATTTCTAAATTACTAAATTTAGTTAGTTATCCACAAGTTTATTTCAGATTTACCCGGCCATGGATGTATCAGACACGGAGTTGAGCCCAGGAGAGTTGGTAAAGTGTCACTATCCTTTCCCCAAACATCAAAAGAAGCTTATCTGGCCCAACAAATACAAGTTTATCCCTCAGGATCTTGAACCTGGTGAACTTGTTTTCATTTCCGGGGACGAAAATGCCAAATGGTCACCATACGAATTCAAAGAATCGGATAGCGTTTCACTGTCTTTTGGTGAAGAGAAGGTAGAGAATGAAACATCTGGTCAGGAAATGGAGGAGATTAGTCGGGATCCACGGAAGATGGAACAATACGCAGTTAAAGAAACATCGCCCACTTTAACCCCGAAACTTGCGGTACAGAGTTCTTCCAAGAAACCTTCACGCAGACCACCTCCTAAACACAAGATTAAAAACCAGGAAGTACAATCAGAGGCCGAAAGAGTTCTTACCAATCTAGATGAAATACTGTCCACAGTGAGTCCTGAAATCACCAGATCCAAGCTTGCCACAGCTTATAGACTTTCGTCTGCGAGGGAAAGAAGATTGAATCTAAAATATTTAAAAAGAAATACGGACCAGACTGTGCCGGATACAGCCACAGAAGAAACACTGAAAATAGAAAAGAAGGGAGACTCGCTGTGTATCGAAGTGGAAAGGGATGATTTTATATCCTCGACTCCCACCATCCTCCCACCAAACCCCTCTCCTGTCACCCCAGTGCCTCCTAAAGAGTGTCCTCGCAAGCTCTCACCTAATAAAGTAACACTGTCCGCTCAAAAGCTCTCTGCCACGTCCCAGCTCAATGATCCAAAGATCCGACGTCCAGAAGCAAAGTCCACATTAACGACTGCTCGGCGTCAACAACCAAAAAATAAGAACGCTATATTAGTGACACAAACTCCTCCGCCAAAACATGCGAAGAAGATTATGTTCCGACCAGGAGCAGTCAGGAAAAGGAAGTCCATATTCGGCAAACCTAAGAGTCTCAACTATTGGACTATCATTGCCAACAAAAAACTCCAAAAGAAAAACGAAGCTCTTATAGCAGAACATTCTCCGAGCCCAGACCCTATCCTTCAAATTCAACGAAAAAGAGACGGGGCTATCCTGTACGAATCTCCTCTGAAATCAAATCCTTTCGTTATTCAGGTTAGCGTCTTACACGAATGCAATTTTATTTAAAATCTTACATCTTTACATTAGTATTGTTCGAGTAGGTAAAGTAGTTTTCTTTAACTTAACCCTAAAAACCCACAGAACGGTGTCGTTATGAGGAAAGATAACGTGAGCTGAAAGTAACACCACGTTACATACACATATTGTATAACAATTGTACACAAAGCTAAACCTGGTTGGAAATGGAGTAATCACTAGTAGACCATTGATAGAATTGGATGAGGTATCTTTTCAAGAAACATAGATAAAAGGATAAAGAAAGACAGACAGGGTACTACATTTCATCACACGAAGATATTCCACTTTTGCATATTTTCAGTTAATATATTTTATCATATCATAAAAACAAACAAAAAAAAGATTAAAAGATACAAAACCAAAGAAAAAAGAGGAAAACAAAAAACAAACAAAAAAGACATTTTACTTTGCTATACAATCGTGCAGTTATTTCAGAATCTGCATTAATTGTGAGTTCAAAAAACCGGATAACTGTGTTTTATTTGTTTGAATTCTTTTGGCGTCACTTATAATAGTAGTAAATACTTACATCTTTTTGTTGTTGGACGATGGTCTGCCTCAAATTTTCCACAATCTTGTGCTTGTCTGCTCGCATCTCCTCTCTCTTCCGGTTTTCTTCTTCTTGCAGCCTGCCCAATATGTTTCCTTAAGTTTTAGAAATAATCAACGTGAATCAAACTTAATGTTTTCGGAACACCAATCCAATTGTCGCCAAGATAACGTTTCACAAAATATATACAATCTATTCTCAACTATTGATCGAAAATTTCCAATAAATTAACCAATTTTCAATCAATTACCCGATTAACTGATTGCCAATAAATTAACCGAGTAAACGAATATAAAGAACTCACTCTCGGAGTTGCAGACAATTCGGTCATAGAACAGACAAGGCTGGTCGGTCGGAGGTCAGTCGGAGGTCGTTCGCCGGTCGGTGAACACCGGTCGGAGGTCGGTCGGAGGTTGGTCGGAGGTTGGTCGGAGGTTGGTCGGAGGTTGGTCGGAGGTCGATCGGGTGCCGGTCGTGCGCCGGTCGAGTGCCGGTCGGAGGTAGGTCGGGCGACCATTCTATGACACAATTTTGGACTCGAGGCTCGGCCCTGGTAATGTGATCTCGGAAGGCAGGCCTCCCCTTTGCAACACGAGCTCGGAAGCGGGAGCTCTCGATACAGAAGGTACGTATCGAAAATGAGTCGGACCGAAAATTTTCTTAGTAAAGTTTTTCCGAGGTCGTTCGGGCGTCGGTCGGAGGTCGGTCGGGTGCCGGTCGGAGGTCGGTCGGGCGCCGGTCGGAGGTCGGTCGGGCGCCGGTCGGAGGTCGGTTGAAGGTACGTATCGAGAATGAGTCGGACCGAAAATTTTCTAAGTCAAAATTTTTTCGAAGTTTTTCGGAGGTTTGTTGGGCGCTGGTTTTGGTGAGTACCGGCCTAATCGTTGTTGGGTGTCCATCTTTTGCATCAATCTCCATATCTATGGGCACACCACTGCACTTTTCTCAGCCATCCAAATACTGAACTTACAGCTTTACAGTGTCTGCCACGAAATCGCTGTACAGTAAAGGGTTGATAACCGAGTTCCGCGAAAGGAATATTATTGAAATGATTGGGTACTGCAGGCTGGGTGTGGCGTTGATAACTTCACTGGAATTCTTGAACTGGGTTATCATTTTCAACGTCATCTTGCTCATCTTGAACTGGGTTATCTTGTTCAATTCCATCTTGATCATCTTGAACTGGGTTGTCTTCTTCAATGTCATCTTGCTCATCTTGAACTGGGTTGTCTTGTTCAATTTCATCTTGCTCATCTTGAACTGGGTTGTCTTGTTCAATGTTATCTTGAACTGAGCTATGATCTTTTTCAATGTCATCTTGCTCATCTTTAACTAGATTGTCTTGTTCAATGTCATCTTGCTCATCTTGAACTGGGTTGTCTTGTTCAATGTCATCTTGCTCACCTTGAACTGGGTTGTCTTGTTCAATGTTATCTTGCTCATCTTGAACTGGGTTGTCTTCTTCAATGTCATCTTGCTCATCTTGAACTGGGTTGTCTTGTTCAATTTCATCTTGCTCATCTTGAACTGGGTTGTCTTGTTCAATGTTATCTTGAACTGAGCTATGATCTTTTTCAATGTCATCTTGCTCATCATTAACTAGATTGTCTTGTTCAATGTCATCTTGCTCATCTTGAACTGGGTTGTCTTGTTCAATGTCATCTTGCTCACCTTGAACTGGGTTGTCTTGTTCAATGTTATCTTGCTCATCTTGAACTGGGTTGTCTTCTTCAATGTCATATTGCTCATCTTGAACTGGGCTATCTTGTTCAATATCATCTTGCAAATCTTGAACTGGGTCATTCGTTTTTTTGCCTTGCCCAATGTTATCTTGCTCATCTTCAACTTGATCTGGATCGTCAGTTTTCTTATATTGAAAATGTAATTCAATGTTATTTACCACATTCTGCACATTCTTTTCTGATTTCCTGTTGAGTGTTCTTAATGTTGCATGGTGACCAATACCATCTCTGGGATCAGGAAGCACCTCTTGAACACATTTTGGATTCAGAGTTGTTTCCAACCACTTAAAAAGTGAACTTACAGTGTCTCCCACGAAATCGCTGTACAGTAAAGGGTTGATAACCGAGTTCAGCGGAAGGAATATTATTGAAATGATTGGGTACCAGGGTGTGGCGTTGATAACTTCACTGGAATGAAGGCAACATGCGATGACGATCGGTAGCCAACAGAAGAAATCTGTTACTATGATCAGTGATATTTTTTGTTGTAGCTTTCTGTTCTTCTTTCCGATTTTCTGGCTGGCTGCATTAGCTGTAATGTTGATGTACACGTAGGATATGGAGATGATGATAAAACACAAAACGTTTATCGCCAAAATGGTCCAAGTATAAAATCTTTGTGGGTCATTTGGTTTTACAAAAAACTTGAAAAGACAAACACCATCATTTCCATAGAATTCAAGCTTCTTTCGGCCAAGATTATCACCTCTATTATAATCACTAGAAAACATTCCATCAACGAGATCGTTTATAATTCTCCAGCTGAGAGTCCCAGATTTTATTTTCCCGTAGTATTCTTGTAGTATACTAAAATGAGCCTCTTTCCCTGGTGCCCCTATAAACAATTTTACTGAAGGGTTATACGTCATACCATTCACAAAGAAATCATCAAAATAAGGCACCAAGGGGACCATCGCTATAGTCACTGATATCACTGAAATCGTCACCATCACCAAACTTATTTGCAGAATTGCTTTATTGTCAACTCTCCTTCTCGTGTTAGGTTTCCTGTTTACCTCAACTATGCGGACAATACTGAGAACAGTCATGCAAAATAATGACAATTGGCTTCCAATCGTGCTGATTACACCGACAATCGAGCAACTCAGGCTTGTCAGCCAAACGAGCTGATCGGAACAATAGTTCTCTCCGTACACAATCGTGTCGTTGACAGCCAGCCACAGCAAATAAACACCCATTAGGAAGTCTCCAACAGAGATCAGAAAAACCAAGAACCTGTTCCTCATAACTGTAGTGTTCTTATCTTCGACGGTAGCCCATGTTCGACAGAATGTCATGAGATTAAAAAGTATTGCTAAAATCCCCAAAAACCAGCACATGAACTTGAGGAAGGTTTGTTGAACGATATTTTTCCCGCAGTCGGAGTTACACTCATCCGAGAAGTCCAGGCAGTCCACGGTTCCATCACATTTCTCAGTTACTGGAATGAACCGCTCTTTTGAGTGACAGCGAAACACGTTGGTACAGGTTTCTTCATCAGAACCATCTCCGCAGTCGTCCACAACATTGCAAACTTTGTCTTGTGTTATACAAAGGTTGTTTTGACATGTAAAGAGATCGTTGGTATAACCGTGTCTTGTTTTCGTTACGAAGGTCAGGAAAGAGTTTTGTGCCACTGTGTAGACCCGGTTTGGGTATTGCTGAGGGCAAGCGTCGAATCGATAGGTTTTCTTTAATGGACAAGTTGAATTTTTACAACGGCCTGAACAGCTCAAAATTAAATAAAGTTCCCCAAACGTGTAGTCACAGTTAAAAATTGTATTCGGATAAATGATTGTGATGTTTGAATTCACTCCAAAAACGTCCTGATTTGTTAAATTCACTTCCTTTCTTACACATTTGTCGGAAATTGTTTGTATGTCTGTGAGTCCTTGCAAGCAGTACATGAGGCGCTTTTCGTTTTCCCCCAATTTTACTGTGGTCAAAACTTTATCAAAGGTAGGAGTCATCTCATGAGATTTTTGACAAGCTCCCTTTTCTTGACCACAAGCATGCTTACCATCACAAAGGTCCTGAAACTCTACATATCTAATCTCTTGTCCCAATTTACAAAGGAAAACTTCTTCACAAGCTGGATTCGTTTCTGTCATGAATCGTATTGTTGGCCCGAACCCGCAAACTGGCCAGCTATTATCCTCATCAATCCCATCTACACAATCTTTTACACCATCGTGAAGCCATTCCAAAGGAATTTTGAGTGGTTGTTCATGTCTGTAAGCTCTATGACACTTTTGTTGTGTTAGGGAGTTGCAGCGTTTTAAACTCTCATCGATACCATTCAAGCAATCTTCTATGCCGTCACAGAGCCTGTGTTTGTGAATAAAACACGTCGGTGAGGCTGACTCGCATGCCTGAGAGATCACATTATGCAAAACCATGATATTGTTTGTTTTATTTCAATTAAAGAATTCATGTTTACATAAATCCAAACAAATGTTATATTTGGACTTATTGCCTTAAGGTTCGCAGTGTTATAGTTCCATAAAGAGAACCATTGAAATTTATATCGATGTAAACATTTACTAGAAAAAATCGTCAAATTTGTTTACCTGACCTATTCCATCGTCGCAAAGTCGAGGAATTGTCGTCAATCTATGACACACCAAAAATATTGACAAAGTTGAACTGTATCCTCCTATATTGCAAGTCAAGATACCCCTGTTACTTGTTGAGGTTACAATATGTAACAATCAGTTACAATTCAAGTATAATTATTTTAATTAGTCTAACTATCATGATTAGTATCATAACTCTAATTAGTCTAATTATTATAATTATTCTAATGAGTATAATTAGTCTAATTAGTCTAATTCGAAACCTGTTTGGATCGGTGCAATTTGTCTGGTCCTTGAAGTTTGCACAAAGTGGAAAAAGATCGTAACCATCACCCTGCATGGAAGGATCTTTCCAGGGTGCTACACACCTTGTACTATTATAAATAGGTATCACCTGAGGTATAGT